TGATATTTCTAGAGTAAGAGAGAAAGAGTCCTAGAGGTAGGGTCTAATCTTCATCAAATTGCTCTTCAATTATCACTTAAAACCTTGAAAATATTCAAGTGAGGCACCTAAGTCTTCATCCTAAGAGGTAAGACTTCATCACCCTAGCTCTTAATTCCATACATAGCTATAAGGGGCCATTAGTGGAACAATTCACGAGGATGAGGGTGATTACATTGCATGCATGTGTTCTTAGAAGATATGGGGGAGTTGTAAATCAAATATAGAGAATTGTAAATCAAAGATAGAGAAAAATGGTGAATGGGTTGGTGTAATCTTCCATAAAACCTTAATGAACACATAATGTTTGATAAAATGCTCAAGTGAGCTAGGATTATGTTCATTTTCCTAATTATGGGTTCAATTGTGCTACATTGCTAAAATAGATTGAAGTTGCGAACATTCCGGAATATTGTAGGAATTAAGGAAAGCTCAATTGAGGTACGTATGGCTAAACCCTCTTCTTCTTAGAATCGAACCCCTGGTGTTCGTGTAATTGGTGTAAGTCCCTAAATTGATCATACTAGAATTGACTGCCCTAATGTATTGTGTTGAAAGATTCGTGTTCAATATTTGCTCTAAAATTGTTCATCATGTTATCATGCCATTTGATGATGTGTTAAAATGTGGAATATGTGTTGAGAAAGGTAATAAATTCATGCCAAGAATCGAATGGGGATTGTTATGCCAAATTGTTTGAAAGGCCTCTATGTGCTTATGATTTTTTCCAAGTCTTCCCCTTATATGTACGAATGCCTCATATGATAGGCCTTATTGATGTAGATGATAATGTTATTTGAATGTATAAAAAGGGAAATTTGAATTGTGAGATACGACCAAGTGCCAAGAACGACTTAATAAATGAGGCTACTTGTGCCATGTAATGAAAGATAGGAAGGAAATGTGAATTGAGAAGAACGATTGAAAGGATGATGTCTCAAGTGAGATGGCCTAGCCGATCGGGCCATGATCGGACACCATGCCTCATACATGGTGGTAATTGTGCTGGATTGATTGATTGAAATTGTGGATATGGTAGATGTCTCAAATGAGATGACCTAGTCGATCAGTTCGAGATCGAACTCCGTGTAGGAACACGGTGGTATTATGGATTGTAGCACATAGCACTAAGATTATCAACCTAATAAGATGGAAATTGAACCGAAACTATGTGATCCTTACTTGGTGTTTTCATATTTGTTTGAAGCTCTTGTGGCACATTATGACTGTTTCCCTTTTGTTTCATTGTTCATTCTATTAAGATTGGTGTTTAGTAAAACATATTAGTACTATTTTTAAATGAATGTAGGTGGTTCCATAGCAGACAGTGTTGATCGCAGCTAGTGGTGCGCCCTTTTTCCAGCTGACTTGGTGAGCCCCACATCATTTCAGGGTCCTATATCTTTTGTATCTTATGTTCACCTTCTTGTCATATTTTGAGGTATAGTCGGAGCCTTGTTGCCGGCACTTTTATAGCACTTTCTTTTGTGTCTGCTTAGAGGCTCTGTAGACAATATGTGGGTTGTATATGGGTGTTGGTAAGGTCAATGGATTATGTTGTGCTTTGAATTCCTGTCCCACTAAATCGTAAGGTGTATGTACTTTAAAACTTAACAATGATATAACTAATGAATCGGCTTAGTAATGTACTTATATGATCTCATATTGTCTAATTGATGAAATCATGTCTTCTCTTGATCGTAAGTGAGTTTGGTAAAAAGTGTCTAACAGGCTTGCTCGGCCAGGTTCACTCGGTTGAGCGCCGATTGTGTTTCCCGAGCTTGGGGCGGGACAGTTCTGGGAAGCTTTCGGGTTGATTTGGACCTTTAATTCTTAACTTAGAAGTCTAAATTTGAAAATGTTAAACAAACTTTGACTTTTGTGAAAATGACCCCAAAACTATATTTTTTAGATAGCTTTATTCTGTGATTTCAGACTTGGACGTATGCACAAAATTAATTTTGAAAGCCCGTAGGTTGATTTGTGTTGATTTTCCGAAATTTGAAAATTTAAAGTTGAAAAATTTGGTTGTAGGTTGACTTTTAGCTATCGAGCTCGGAATTCGATTTTGGGACTTGGATAAGCTTCGTTATGGTATTTAAAACTTGTTTGCAAAATTTGGTATCATTTGGAGTTATTTGGTAGGATTCAGACGCTTAGCTGTAATTCTAGAAGCTCTTGAAAATATCTTTGAATTCATGCATTTTAGTGTTCAATTCGTAATTTTAGATGTTATTTTTATGTTTTGATCACGCGAGCGAGTTTGTATGATATTTTTAGACTTGCGTGGATGTTTGGTTTGGAGCCTCGAAGGCTCAGATGAGTTTCGGACATGTTTCGGAATGTTTTAGACTAAAGTTAAAAAAATCTGGTGTATGTTGCTCAGGTATTGCAATTGTGACACCAGAGTCTCAATTGCGAAGATGACAGGTGAGGAGCAATTGTCACAAATATGACCTCCACTTCACATTTGCGAAGCCAACAAGATTTATCTAAATTCGCATTTGCGAACTATTGTTCGTTTTTGCGATATTTCCCCAGTTCGCAATTGCGAAGACTTTATCGCAATTGCGATAGATGCCGAGTCTGTCAGGGTTTCCTTGTTGATTTCCATTATTTAAGACGCATTGTTAAATGTTATCCCTTTTATTGTGAGTTAGTCTTATCTAATATCGTGGTTATACATTACTATTCTCATTGTTGAGTTATGTGGTGTTGAAGTTGTGAAAGTTGTTAATACGTTGAGGCGATGTTGGTTATTGTTTAAACATCTATCTTATTGAGCATTCTTCATTCATTGTTGTTGTTGATATTCTTTTATACGTTGTGGTGGAGCCATGGACTAGTATTGAAAACATTGGTCTTGTTGTTGTTGTTAGCAAGTTGTGATATATGGGCACTTGTGGTGCGAGTTGTTATTCTGATATGATATTGACGCTCATGCGGCGGTATAAGGCTTGGAGTTAATGTGCATATGGCAGTATAAGGTGGGACTTATGTGCGTGTTGTTTGTGGAGGAACTATGTGAAGCCACGTGGCATCATAGGATGGACTAAAGTGCGTGTAGCTATTTCGGAAAATTATTTTCAAAAGCTATTTCAAATGTACGGCTCACGCGGCGGTACAAGGAAAGATTATGATTGAAATTGAGAAATGTGATACGAGGTGGTACCTCGATTGTGATTTTTGATTATACGAGACGGTATTTCGGTTTAATTTCATTATACACGAGGCGGTACTTCGTTGTGATTCTTGCCATTTATTTTATGTTGCAAAGTGTTTTAGGGGGGAATATTTCTTGTTGCTTCATTCTTTATTGTTCTAATAGTTGTTGTTCGTTCATGATCATTGTAGCTCTTTAGTTGCTTCTTTTATGCTATTCCCATTGTTGATTTCCGGTACTAGTTCATGCTATTATCTTGGTTTTATTTCAGATGTTTCTTCATTTTCCATTACATATCCGTATTATATTTTTATACTGTCTATTTTATATCCTAGTAGGTATCATGACCTGACCTCATCACTGCTCTACTGAGGTTAGGCTCGATACTTATTGGGTACTGTTATGGTGTACTCATACTACGCTTCTGCACATTTTTTTGTGCAGATCGAGGTACGTCTGCTCTTGCCGGTCGTTAGAGATTGTCTGTAGCTGCTTCTTGGGAGACTTCAAGGTATACCTGCTCCACTTCCGCAGGTCTCAAAGTCACTTTTCCTATTTTACTTCTTGTTGCATTTCTTACGGACAATGATGTATTAGATATTTTAGAATTATTCTATAGAGCTTATGACTCAATTCCACCGGTTTTGGGGTGTGTATTATGAGATTCTGTTTCGGAAGGTTTTTATCAATTATTCAGTTGTTTTCAGTAACTTGTTAATTATATCTGTTAAGTTATTGTTGATTGTTAGGCTTATCTAGTCATAAAGATTAGATGCCATCACGACATCCCACGGAGGGGAATTGGGATCGTGACAGGAGGTATAGTATAAGTTGGATTTAGACCATCCCAGTAATTTATCTTAACTTTGTATATGTATTATAAATCTTTTAAATACGGACAAATATTAAATTTCGAACTAGTAATTCAAACAATCAGCGAATTTAGTTTTGAACTTATAAAATTTAAATTTTGAAGATGTGTGTGAGTACTTCATCCATTACATTGAGTTATCTTTGAAGATATTTTACATTATTACATTTTTATTGAGCTTTCACTCAAGAATTATAATCCATTAAATTAGTCAAATTTTAAGTTTTGACGTGATATATTTTTTTTTCTATCAACTAACTTAGTATGCGTTACTTTAATATTCTTTTCTACGACAAAACTAATACACCTACATAAGTAAAAAAAAAAAGTTAGTTAACTTTCTCTAATATAGCATCAATGAGTATGGATATAATCTTCTATTTTAATTTAAGAATTTTGGGGTCTGGGAATAAATTATTATTTTTTGGTAATGAGCATTTTTTTCTTGAATGAGTCTTATACGATGCAAATCTGATTAATGAAGCTTGAAACGTACACGATAAGAAAAAAATCATTGAAAAATCTGAGATGTTTTTCTCTCTTTACACCCTCATTTCGATACGTTTCAGCTTTACCTTCATTTATTCTTATAGCATATTTGGCCGTGCTTTTTTTATTTTATTTTTACGAAATGTACTTTTTTCAAAGTTAAGATATTTAACCATATTTTTAAAAGAAAAAAGTATTTTTAATTAGAAGTATAAGTAGTTTTTGAGAAACATATAAAGTAACTTCTTCCCAAAAAATATTATTTAAAAAATATACTTTTAAAAAATATACTCAGAAGCACATTTTAAAAGCTTAGCTAAATATAAATTGCTAATCAAAAGTATATTTAAATTTTTTAGTCAAATATAAATTACTTCGTATTAAAAGTAATTTCTTAAAAAACACTTTTCAAAAATCAATTTTGAAATAAGCGCCCAACAAAACCATGAAAAGAGACAAATTGGGTTTCGTTCCAAATTGTGGGTTTCGTTCAAATCTACTGTTAAATGAATTTGGATCTTCGACCATATTTCTCTCTTTTACTATAATTTCTTCAGAAAAAAAAATTGTGGGTTTTGTTCAAATCTACTGTTAAATGGAATTGGAACTTCGACCCAGAAAGAGACAAATTGGGTCTTTCTCTGGTTTCTCACAAACTGAGGTACTTTTCCATTTCTTTTCTGGGTTCCATTTTTTTTAAAGAATCATCTTTTCCAAGTTTGTTCTTGACGGGTAATTGAAGAATTGTATTAAAATGATATATATTTGTATTTTGAACTATGCATTAAGTTGATATTTTTCTTGTTTGATCTCTATTTAGAAAATTTGTTTATCTTTTTCATGTTTTGGCTTTTAGGGTCGTTGAAAAGTTGTACTCCTTTAATTTATATAATACACTTTCCTTATTAATATCTACGGGAGGGGTTGCTGTGATGGTGAGCAACCTCCACTTCCAACCAAAGAAGTTGAGTCACCCCAAGAGCAAGGTGGGGAGTTCTTTGAGGGAAGGATGCCGAGGGTCTATTTGGAAACAGCCTCTCTACTCTAGGGTAGGGGTAAAGTCTGCGTACACACTACCCTCCCCAGACCCCACTAGTGGGATTATCCTGGGTTGTTGTTGTTGTTGTTTGTTTCCTTATTAATATGTTCCAAAAAGAATGATACTCCGTATGTTCCATTTTTATGTGAATCTTCACTTTTCGAGGGCCAATTTGACTAATCTTTGAAGCTAAATTGAATTAGATTAATTCAATATTTCAAAGTTAAAATTAGATATTCAAAAATTATAGAAAAAGTGTGCCGACCAGTGGGGAGGATGCTACTTACGAGCTGGTCAGGGACAGGTTTTGGTCACTCCTGAGGAGTAGAGAGGCTGTTTCTGATAGACACTCGGCTCAAGAAGATGAGAAGAGGCAAGGACCCAGTAATATAAGAGGAAGCAAGAAAGAAAGATAACATCAGCAACGTAATAACTAGAAAATAGAGAGAAAAGCAATAACAATAAGCAGTAACAGTGGTACAGTACTACAGACAAAATGGAGTAATATGGATACAACAAGAGCCACTAGCATCCTAAGACACTACACTATCGAACCAGCCTCCTACGATCTAACCTGCAGCCCTAAAGAAGTAATATGGACACAATTGAAGCCACTAGCAGCCTAAGACAGAACCCATGCTAGCCTCCTATTTCCTAACCTACAACCTTAATGCTCGCCTTCCACAACTTCCTATCGAGGGCCATGTCCTCGGAAATCTGAAGTCGCATCAGGTCCTGCCTGATCAGCTCTCCCCAATATTTCTTTGGTCACTCTCTACCTTTTCTCACACTTGTCAAGGCCTTCACACCTCCTAACCGGGGCATCCATGCTTCTCCTCCGCATGTGCCCGAACCATCTAAGTCTAGCTTCTCGCATCTTGTATTCTATGGGGGCCACGCCCACCTTCACCCGGATATTTTAGTGTCCGCACATCCATCTCAACATCCTCATTTCTGCAACTTTCATCTTCTGGATATGAGAATTTCTTGACTAGCTAACACTCAGCACCATACATCATGGCCGGTCTAACCACCGCTTTATAAAACTTACCGTTAAGTTTCGGGGGCACCTTCCTGTCGCACAAGACACCATATGCTAGCCTCCATTTCATCCACCCACCCTTATACGTTGCGTAATATCCTCATCAATATCCCTATCCTCCCGGATAACCGATCCCTGGTACTTGAAGCTCCCTTTCTTGGGAATGACTTGAGGCAAGCCTCACGTCCATGTCCACTTCTCTCGAAATGCCGTTGAACTTGCACTCCACGTATTCTGTCTTAGTCCTGCTCAACAATGTGATGAAAAAATGCATTTCAAAATGTTGGTCAAGGTTTACATAGTTTGAATCTCGAAAACCGAAAAGGTTCACATAAACTGGAACGGTCGGACTATGTTTTTGGGGCTATAAATCAGCTCATTAAAGGTAAAATGCGAGTTTAATATTAAATAGTCTCTAAATATAGATAGATGTCATTCTTTATAGGACAGGCTAGAAAGGAAAGAGTGTTATATAAATTGAGACAAATGGAGTATATAGTTGTAGTATGAAGTATGCATTATCACTCTGCCTATGTGCAATAAATAGCCGAGGTTGTGGTAGGTTGAGATTTAGAGTAAAAGTAGTCATACTATAATAAATGATTAATGAATGGATACAGAGAATTTATATAGGTGACCCCAACTTGTTTGGAATTAAGGTGTAGTTGATTGATAGATATAGAGGAATTTTCTGCGCTTGACGCTCATTGGATTAAATCATGTTGAATTGTGTGAACGGCATTGTATTATGATTTAAGCTGTTAAAGAGGAGATATTTTTATTTATTTAAGTTTGTGACGTCTCTTACATGCGGGATGAATCTTTATTTCCCCTTTTCCTTTGAGGCTCCAAACATTGGGATATAGTTTGTTGATATGTGACCGCGAAAGTTTAACGCAAGAACTTTGTCTGTTTTGATTCCATATTGAATTATATGAATGCCTTAGTATAAAAGTTTAAATAGTTAAGGACGCTCTGCGACAATGTTATGAAGGATGAAACCAATTAGACAGTAGTCTCTTGCAAAAGGTTAGCAAGTCTCAGCTGTTGGAATTGAGCAAACCAGTGGGTTTGATTTAGTTTACGATCTACATATCACAGTTAGTTCAGTTTGATAATAGGTTGCTGTCCCTCTTCTTCCATTTAATATCACAAAAGAAAGAAAATAGTGAGAGTATTTAAATGAGCTAGAAATATTGGTTGCTAATAGAATGTAGAAGCTAAGGTCTATTAAAGTTACGTCCTTTCTGCATTATTTTGTAGAAATGTTAGTCTTGAATGTTTATATCAAAAGACATTTGTCGTGTTTCACTGAGATTGCAAACTGAGGCTGCAAACTGCAAGCACTTCAGTTTTGCCTTGCAGTTTTTGTACATATTACATTTTGCTGCTTTTGAGCGTTAGGAACCCAAAAACCATTGGATGCAACTCTAGTTCGGTTATTTTCTTCCGACTGATAATCTTTTCATCGTCTTCCAAATCTTTCATTCGAGCAGATTGAGAAAATGGAGAACTTAATCAACGAATCAAGTGAACAAGTTTGTGACCCAGAATTCTGCAAGAAAGTGGCAAAGACATTCATGTAAGTTTTCACTTTGAACCAAGTAATTTCTTTTTGCATACTCACAATCCGTACATGTATATTCTTTAATGCATACTTCTCGGCATGTTTTTAGGCGCTCTCAAGGTCGTGCAGGAAAACCGATTGTTAAATGGACTGAGGTTCATACTTCAATAGCCTTTCTCTAGGATCTGTTCTTGTGGCTTGAAGGTTCGTATGACACTAACTATTTCACTTGATTTTAGGTCCAAACTTGGTTTCAGAACAAGTTGCAATGCTGTTCATCGAAGGATAATTCAGCTGAGGCCAACCAAAAACTGCCTGACGTCACAGAAAGATGTGCTTTAGATAAAGCAAATGAAAGCTCTCATACGGCAGGTCTTTTTCAACATATATTTTCTACGTTGCCAGAAATTGACATGATGGTTATATGAGACTAATGTGGCTAAGTACAATGTTATTTCGTTACTCCCTCACTGGCCGATTAGCAGTGGTATTAATAGTACTAATGTTTAAGTGCAAGAAGGTAGACTATTGAATTGACTACAACCACTATTTTCTCTGGAGAAATTAAGTGCACATTAGTGCTTCATTGAATATTCACTATGTCAAAATTTGACATTTTTGTCTGTAAATCCGTTGGGGAGATATGATACTCTTAATATTCCCAACAAGTTTTGGCTTGTTTATGTTTTCTCATCTCCAGCTGAGTAATTAGTAATATTAGTAATTAGTAATTATCTTTCACAAGTCCTCCCCTTCTTCTGTCTTGTTTTCCATTGTTTATCTTCTATTATTTTCTTACTGTTGTCTAGTTTCCTTTACCAACTTCAACTAAAAGCTTAACATCCACTTAAAGCTACATTCAACTAACATAGAATTAGATGGAGAAACCATGTTGAGGATCTGGTACTTCAGTTGGTAGAAAGTAAGTAATTGTTGAGATACCAAAATTGCATAGGCGTTTCTTTTTCCTTTTCTTTTTCTAATATAGATAGTTCAAATTCTTTTGTTCTGAATAGTTGGTGCTCCTTTCTCTTTTAACGTTAAAGTTGCATTTCCTTTCGCATCAGACATGTACTTTATGTAGTCATGACAAACTTTTTGCAGGCCAAAAAGTTCCATCGCAATCAGAACTAGAATTTGAGGCGAGGTCTTCAAGAGATGGGGCATGGTAAGAGTACAATTAGCAAGCAAGAAGGTTTTGGTCCTTTACAGTCAGAAGTACTTACTGGGTACACGATGGTTTCAGCATATCCTTTTGGATACATAATTGAGTTTTATCAGCACTGTGTTAGTTCATTTTCAGCTCCTTCAACATTAACTTTGAGATGCATATACTTGTAATGACTCTTGTTTGCATATTGTCTTTGTTTGTGACGTCCATATCTCAAAAGGTTCCATAAAATGAAGTTAACTGATTGAATATGACATCCATGTCGACTAAAAAATGTCTTATTTCTCTATATTTTCTTTTCAGAGTTTTATTTGTTTTTCTCTTTTGTTGCTTTCCCTTTTGATGGGTGGTCAATGGCTGCTGGTTGGATAATGTCTTTATGTTTATTTCTTTTGAAATTTGTGCTATATTAGTCCCCATCCATTTTAAACACATGGAACCAGAAAACTCTCTTTGTCTTATGTGTGGTTAGTGAGTTCAAGTGTTCAAATAAGAGGCAATGAAAGTCTGCTTCTCAAATCATCTTAGTTTTAGTTTACATAAAACTTTCGAAGCTTGTTTCTTAAGGGGAGTTGTTTTCCAGTTTTGCCAAAAACAATTACCTTAATTACAAATTCCTCGTGAGGTTGATGAAGTCAAAAACATCAGTGCGTGTTGGTGACATGATTAATACAGTGTTTTCTTCTGGATTTTACAGGTATGATGTTGATTCATTTATCTCTCACCGATTTCTTAACTCTGGAGAACCTGTAAGCAGTTCATATTTCTTCTAGAACTAACACATTATAACCGAATGTAGACATTGTTGAATATGCTAAGCCTACTTAATTAATTTTTTAACAAGAATCTAAATATGCTCCTAATTATATTTCTATTACGACAGAAATCAAATCTGTAATGTATGCAATAACCAAGTCAATATTTTTGCAGGAGGCTCTTGTGAGATTTGTGAGCCTTGGATCGGAGGAGGATGAATGGGTAAACATAAGAAAGGCAGTCCGCGAGCGCTCTGTTACTCTTGAAAATTCAGAGTGTAACAAACTGAAGGTTGGGGATCTTGTTTTGTGCTTCCAGGTACTACTTCCATTGGAATTTCTTTTCCCAATGTTGCAATCAAGAAAAGCAGAGAAATAAGTGACTTTTCAGTTCATGATTTCCAAGAAAAAAGAATTTTCTGAGAGTGCTTGGGTGGTGTGCACAATGGAAGAAAAAGATTCATAAAGGTGATACTTACTAGTTATGATAGGTTTTAAATAACCTTTAATATTATTATAATAACAATTATTATTATCATCGTTACTATATATATATATATATATGTAGCTTATTTTCACTACTATTATTTTATTTTTGGAAAAGGGTCAAAAGTACCCCTCTACTATGGGAAAATGATCATATATACCCTTCGTTATATTTTTAATCTATTATTATCCCCGACGTTATAAAACTGATGCAAAAATACACTTCTATTAGGATCCTCCATCATGGACAAAACCATCCCAAGTGGCTTGATATGTTGCTGAGTTGTTCGCCACATGGCATGCCACCTCACCACCCCAACTATTTTACACCCTCCACTTCTTCCACCACCTCCCTACTTCACCCAAAATGATTATGCCATCTAAATCCAAATATAACTAACAACAATTAAAACAAAAAAGAATGCACCAAACCCAATTAAATTCTCCATAATTTACCGACGGCATTTGGGGTATATCAAGCCTTGAAGCACCCAAAATCTGCAGAATTTGGATTAAAACTAAAAATAGTTAAATCAAAGAGAAAATAAATAAAACATATACATCGATCACTCTACAAGTGTAAATAAAAAGAGACCTTTTTTTAGAAGGGTTCATTAGACAAATGCCCACGTTTGTTTTGTAATTTTCAGGTGGGTTCTTCATGGATGGGGCTATAACAGTACTGAAGCAAAAGAAGCAATTCTGTAGCAAAACCTTCAACTAAGAACCTAACTTTACTCGGCTTTTTTCATTGTGGTTGATAGGAATAACTGCCATAGCTCCTCAGAGGTCCTACTTATGGCACATGCATAGATTAAGGTGGCAGTAAATTGCTTAAAGGTTGAAGTAAAGTTCAGTTCTTCAATTAACTGCCATAAACTGAATAACTAATAAGGAGGTGATGGTGGCGGCAATTGGGTGAAGACAGATATTGTGTGGAAGAAGTGGAGAGGTTGGGACAGTGAAGTGGCAATGCCACGTGGCGTCCACCTCACCGAAATGTTAGACCACATAAGAAGGTGTTGTCCATGGTGGAGGGTCCTAACGGAAGAAGAGTATTTTTGCACCAATTTTATAACGTCGGGGGCAATGATGGACCAAAAGTATAACAGAGGATATATCTAATCCTTTTACCATAGTAAAGGTGTATTTTTGACCGTTTTCCGTTTTATTTTGGCATGATGATGATATGAGTTGAGCTTAAAGAAAGAAGTGATGATTCATATTACCGACCCAACTTTGTTTTGGGCTGAGGCGTCGGTGTTGTTGTTGTTGCTTGGGTGGTGTGCTAGTAGAAAAGATTGAAAAAGCACCGGAAATCAATATTGTGCCACTTTAAATCCTGGTGTATTTCGAATGCCCCACTAACGCAAAACGATTTAGAGAGATTCTTCTTTCTCGATGGTCATAGGTTAGAGTATCCATAGCTTTATTTCTTTTCTCGGCCAAATCCTTATTTCATTTTGAGGGTAGTACAGATAAGATCATAAAACAAGCGCAAATGTGTTCTATCTTTTTATTGCTTGACTTCTTATTTTTTGTTCGGTTCGTCTTCATTTAACTAGGAGGGAAAGAACCAGTCAAAATATCTTGAAGCTCATGTTATAGAGATTCAAAAGAGATTGCATGACATAAGGGGCTGCAGATGTCTCTTTGTGATTCGATATGGTTGTGATGACACCGAGGTAGGTGTTAGTAATAAGCATACACTATGGAGATGGACTAAATTTTTACCAGATTTTACTATTTCTTGCTCAGGAAACAGTTCGTTTGAGGCGATTGTGTGTTCGACCAAGCATATTAGGGCGTCCTTGACGTAGTTTGAACTTTGAATGTAGTACATGCCGCCAGCATATGCCACTCAATCATAGAATCGGCTCCAGTCAAGGTGAAAAATGTCCGATGATCCCGCCACCCCTGCTCCCGGATTTTGATTCTACTGCTCTATCTGAGAGGTGCAAAAGAATTTGAAAATTCCATCTGGTGAATTGCTGCTGCCTTAGGTGTATAGCTATTAAATGGGGAGAACATTTTGTTTAGCTTAATATGACTGTCTATTGTGAATAATTAGCTCTAAAAACAACATACGAAAAGCTAAATTTTGATGATACTTTAATGTCATTATTGACTGTTTTAGTGTTTGAAACAATTGTGTCAAAATTTCTCTTTAGATTATGGTTCAATTTTCAACTATAGTATAGTTGAAAATTACTGCTACATCATCCATGTAATGTCTGAGATGCCAAATTTCCCCACAAAATAGTAATCACATCCCAAAAATTATTCTTTAACTCTCTTTGTTCCACTTTTAGTGATTGAGTTATTATTTGGAGAGGTAAATGAGCTTTTCTTTGATTATGAATTTTTAAATAACTTTTAAATATTTTAAATTGTTAAATATTACGACTTAGAGTACTTTCTACGTAAGTTGTGTAAATTTTATTACAAAAGTTTTTGAAGATTTTATGTCCAAATGTAGATGCAAAAATACTCTATCCGTTCACTTTTACTTGGCATGTATACTAAAAATAGATTTTTATTTTTACTTGTCACTTTATGCATATCATGACAAGATAAAAAAAAATTCTGTTATACCCACAGTATTTATTAGTCATTTCAAATCATTTTCTCAAATCCAATAAAATATGCATCAATTAATATAGGTATTATGATAAATTATGCACTTCATTTATTATTTTTTAAGAGACGTGAAAAGTCAAAAGGTGCCAAGTAAAAGTGAACGGAGGGAGTAATCAATTTGAACATAAATGATTCTCAACTTCCAAAAATCAGGCATTGCATATGCTTTAAATTTTATCTACTTTAGAGTTTCGTTGTGTATTAATTTCTGTAAGCATGTCCTCCTTTAAGACAAGAGGGGTTGCTCTGATGGTAAGCAACCTCCACTTCCAACCAAGAGGTTGTGAGTTCGAGTCTCCCCAAGAGTAAGGTGGGAAGTTCTTGGAGGGAAGGATGTCGGGGATCTATTTGGATACAGTCTCTCTACCTCAGGGTGGGGATAAAGTCTGCGTACATACTACCCTCCCCAGACCCCACTAAGTGGGATTATACTGTGTTGTTGTTGTTGTATGTCCTCCTTTAAAGATAATTTATGTGGTAAAAGTTGTAAGGGCTAAAATGCCCTTGAACTATTGAAAATAGAAAACCAATGTATGACACGCACCAATCACGTTTTGCCACATAAATATTTTCTTAATAATATTTTATTTTATTTTCATTCGCTATTTATTTTCTTTTTATTTTTTATTATCATTTTGTTTCTCTTTTTCATTCTTCTTCTCCTGCATCCTCCATCAACATTTTCTCCACCGTAGCCGCTATCATCAACAACAACAACAACAACAACCCAGTATAATCCCACTTAGTGGGGTCTAGGGAGGATAGTGTGTACACAGATCTTACCCCTACCCTAGGGTAGAGAGACTGTTTCCAAATAGACCCCCGGCATCCTTCCCTCAAGAACTTCTCACCTTGCTCTTGGGGAGACTCGAACTCACAACCTCTCGGTTGGAAGTGGGGGTTGCTTATCATCAGAGCAACCCCTCTTGTATCATCACTGTCACAATTAGTGCCACGCGGGTTCAAAAGGTGGTACTTATACCATTTCGAACAATTATAAAAGGGTAATATGATGGCGTCCATGGCCATCGAATAAGTGGATTACGAAGTTAGTTGTGACATCATATTTTGGAATAAAGCGATTTAATTGGCAATAACAAAAAAAAATTGAGATAAAGGTACGTCAAACTAGGTATTTTATGAGATATAATAAAAAAGACTACCACGAACTTCCTCGAATTAGCCAGACAAACTAATTAAAGTCTAAACCATACTACGATAACCCTTAAAATACTTTAATTTCCAGCACAGTTGGAAATTAATATGTGAAAAGTCTAAAACTTCATTTTTTGGATAGGTGATGAATAGATTTTCTTGACGAGCAATGTAGTAATTAAAGAATTTTAAGAGTCAATACTATGTCTAATTAGACAAATTTCGCATATGACGAGGCCCGAGCACTGAATGTGTGAGGGGAATAGATTAGGGTGAAACTCAAAAATAGCTAGATTTACGAGTGGTAATTGAAAAATAGTCAGATTTACAAATGGTAATTGAAAAATAGCCACAGTTTTAAAAGTAATCGAAGTTTAGCCATATTTTATGTAAAAATAAATTTGAACAAAAACACTGTTCAAAATTCGAAAAATATTCCAGCATAATATACTGGAGTTTGAATTTGTTACATATGAATTTCCAGCCTAATATATTGGAGTTCCAGCATAATACACTGGTCCAGCATAATATGCTGGAAGTTCATACACATGTGCTTCAATCTCCAGTATATTATGCTACACAGGAAGTTTTAGCATAATATGTTGGAAGTTCATATACAGGTGCACCAATCTCCAGTATATTATGCTGGAACTTTTCGTGTTGCAGCAAAATAGTGGCTATTTTTCAATAACTTTGCAAATTCTGACTATTTTTTAAATACCAGTCCGAAAATTGACTAGCACAAAAAAGCGACCAGCCCAAAAAAAGAAAGAAACTGCTTCTGCTTCTTTCCAAAAGCACTTTTTTCCCCAAAAAAAGCTTGGTCAAACACCTCAAGTTAAGAAAAATAAGTGTTTTTGAGAAAAAAAAACACTTTTGACCTCTTGAGAAGCTTGGCCAAACATGCTATTAGTATTTTCTTAAGGAGTGTGCCAAAAACCAAAATGCCACTTATTATGGACCGGAGGAAATAAATAAGTTAGCAGGGTAGAACAATAAATAAGTTACCAAATTCCTTTAGGATGTTTTTTCTTTTCAAATGCAATGAATTCCCATCCCCCTAAATCTAATTAACTTAGAGTCTTGTTTGGAAAGTCACCCTGTTATTGGAATTGACGTAATTACTAGGGTAGTAATTACACAACCTAGTAATTATACAGTTGTATAATTACAATGACCTGTTTGTTTGTCATAGTGTAATTACAGTATAATTACATGTTTACTGTTTGATTGCACAAGTGTAATTATATAGTTAAATTAAAATTTAAATTAAGTAATTATCAAAACTTAAAAGTTAATATAATAAATATATGCCTATAATTTAGTTTAGATACTTACAAAAATTAAAAATATAACTTTTATAAGAGCATCATGGAATTCATATTTGATAAAATAAATTAATTGATAAATATAATGTCATAACATTAGTCAAATATTTTACAAAACTAATCTATTAACTCTAACTAAAAAATGAACAACATGCAAGTTTGACATGATATAGTTCAAATTTAGAACCATGAATATAACACAATTTCAAAATTCTAAAAAAAAAAAAATAGTTCAAATTTCGACATGATATAGTAAGTTCTACTGCAACTTAAGATTAGGAAACATGACAAGTTTATAACCACAGTCAACAATGAAATTTCAATTTAATTGCATCACTCATTATATGCCAAGTTTGTTAATGACTCATTAATATTTTTAATATTAAGAGGTGTAGTTTCAAAAAATAAAAAATAAAATATAAGCAATTACATGGAATCACAAGAAGTAAAGATAGAGAAACAAAAGATAAATAATGTACAAAAAAAATATATTTTAAAATTTCAAAAGAAATTAAAAAGTAAAAATAAAATTAAAAACTAAAATAATAGAAATAAAAAGTTATAAAGAAAATAAATTAAAATAAAACAAAAAGGAAAGAAACTAAAAAGCAACCTTGTAATTGCACAGTGTAATTACCACCAATTCTCACCTCCCCCTTGAGAATTGGAAAGTGTAATTATACCCCTCCAATTACACCCAATTCTTATTTACTTTATATATTTACTATTGACCATATAACTTTAGGGGTCGTTTGGTAGGATGCATTAGGTAAAATAATGCATGCATTAGCTTTGTGTACTAATAATATCTTGTTTGGTAGATATTTTGAACCTATGCATTAGTTATACATACTATTTGGTATTATCCTATGCATAACTAATGCATAGAAAATAATGGTATTACCGATGCAATGAGTTTTAATGCATGCATTAGCTTAGTTAAAGATAAAATTGTCCTTCAAAATTTATATTTGATTAAAATATGTTAGTTATTATATAATTGCAAGTTTAAAATAACCCAAATAGCGAGAAATAAAATTATATCCTTAGTAATAAATAAATAATTACTTACCATATTTCTTTTTTTATAAATGAATATTTAGTTCTATATTACAATATAGGTAGACAAATCAAATAATTTTTTAAAACTTTTTCATATAAAAATATTTCTCAAAATATGTTTCTTTTAAAAAGTTAGAGGGATGGATTGATTTTAAGGGCATTTTTGTAAACAAACAATTCTTTAAGAAATTGTAAAATGCTTTAATACATCAAACCATACAATGGATAAGAAATATGTCAGCATAACTAATACCAGCATAACTAGTGCAAGCATAATTAATACCAGTATTACTAATACACTCTATTCAGCATTATTTTTATACACCCTACCAAACGACCCCTTAGTGTATAAGTGGTCATAAAATTGTTGTTTGTATGTGTAAGGGGAATATTAGCAAGATTTTATATGTCTTCCTAATTATGATTGAAATATATTTTACCATTTAAAGTACTTTTTTGGTTTAATAATTCGATATTCAAAATTCATTAACTAAATTAATTTTGATAGCAAATGTTTCCCTTTTTAGTAGGGTTTATGGGCCTTTTAAGTACTTATCCCTCGTTATTTCCTCCAAATAAAAATAGGACTTTTTCGTATATATACGAGAGACCACCGAAGAATTAATAGATAAAAATTCAGAAACATTATTAATTTTTTTTGTATAGATTGATGGAATTGATCTTATGTGTTGTATAAGTGCATATAACAAATTATTTTTTAAATAATTGACATAGATAGGTTAAGTGAACATAATTGACATAAGTGTTCAAATAATAAGTTGGTTGATATAAGTGGATTGGCCTTAAGTCGGAAATTCTTTGAGTGACTTCATCTTTTGCTAATTTTTTGCTGCCTACAACGTGACATATTTGAGGGTAAATGCGTGAAAATAGCATGGGTAGCCAGTTTTTAGACTGATAATTGAAAAATAATTAGCGTTCGCAAAGTCATTAAAAATAGCCACTATTTTGCTACAACATTGAA